TTGGACACAGAGTTAGAAAATTGTCACCATTACATGCAGTTTGCAGCCGCCGCCTACGGCTGGCCCCTGTATGTCTATAGAAACCCGCTGACGGGGCTCTGCAAGGTCGGCGGAGACTGGTACGTGCTCATGCCCAGGGGCTCAGCTCCTTCCCGGGGCAGCCCGCTACAGTGACTGCTTCCCCTTTCAAACAAGGTACATTTCCCTGTTTTTCAAAAGAAAGAAAAAATGAGAAGCTTTCTGTTTTGAAATATTTCCAAGACTCGCGGGAGTAGTCCGGGGCCCGCCACGTGTCCTTCCCTGCAGAGCCCCAGGGCGGCTCCGTTTTGCCCCGTGCGCACAGCGCTCTCTGCAGAGCCATCACTCCCCCACCAGTTGTGGTTTTGTTGTAGACGTCAAACCTTCCTGCAGCTGCTGTGGCACGTGCTCCCTGAAGGCAGGGTGCTCCCTCCCGTCCCAGGGTGCAGTTACAGGCTTCAGGATGGTTCTCACTGATCGCTGGCTGATTGACAGTTTCCATTCAGATTTTCCCACTTGCCCGCGTCGTTTCCTTTACAGCAGTTTTTCCTTCGATCCAGGATTACCTGTTTCAGTCAGTTGTCAAATTGTCTCAGCCCCCTTCATTCTGGAACAGGCCCTCAGCCTGTCTTCTTCACAGTGCTGACAATCGGAGGAATGCAGCCCTGGTATTTTGTGGAATGTCCCCCAGTTTGCGTTTGTCTGACGGTTTTCTCATGGTTGGATTCAAATGAGGTATTTGTGGCAGAAGTGCTGTGTCAGTTCGTTTGGAAGCCACATCAGGACTCATGATGGCGGTTTGCTTTGTTGTTGGGAATGGTGAAACTGATCAGGTTGGTTAAGATGTCTGCCAGGTTTCTCCTCACAAGAGTTCCTCTCTTCCCATTGCAGATAAGATGTCATCTTTGGGGAGACAGTTTGAGGCCGTTTAAGGATCCTGTTCGGTTGATGACTCCCGGCTGAGTCAGTGATGACTCGGATGGTTGGTTGTGGTGGTTCTCTGGTCACCTTGTCTTCTGCGTTAGTTACCAGCCTGCTGTAAAGAGCTTTTCCTTCTGTTTATTGTCAGTGTGGGTTCGTAGCTGCTGCTTTTACTCAATGGGTTATAATTTATTACTGTTCGTTTTGTAGTAAATGTCCCTTGGACGCCCTTCAGGCCAGCCGCGTGTCCTCTTGATATCTCCCCATCTTTGAGCACTTCCTTGTTTTTTGACACAACAAGATGTTACAGGCTTATCTGGTACCTTCCTGGGATACTCCCTCCCAGGCACATTCTTCTTGGAGTGCGGAGAATGTGATTTACAAACCAAAGTCTGAGTGGCAGGTGTGCCCATACTTCTGGGCCTCTTTGGTGGACAGAGTTGGGGAGAAGTAGCAGTTGTATGGTTCGGCCCAGTGTGTATCTCCCTTCAAAGTTGTGGGTTTGTGCTGATGTCTTCTCCTTCTCGTCTGGGGCCACAGTCTTTCTGGCTTTTCCCTGTGCTGTGTCTGCTTCCCGGCACAGAGAGAGGCCTGGCACCCACAGCAGCAGGTCACTGTGCTCTGCCCTCGGTGCTCACGTTGCTTCACCCTGCCACGCCCCACACTGCCCCGACCACGTGGATGCCGAGGTTTGAGATTAGCTTGCAGTTCTTTTTGTACTGAGTAGTGCATTCAGAAGGCCCTTGGATGAGTTCGTTTTAGCCTTGTGTTTCCTTATCAGTGTGGTTTGGTGTTGATTTGAAATGGTTGGTTCGTTGGGATCATTGAATCGGCACTCCATTCTCGGGTCACTGCCGTCCCTGATTAATGTGTGACATTAACATGACTCCAGGAGCACAGCTCTGGTACAAGGCTCAGAGAGACGTCTTGCCTTTTAAAGGCCATTGTATGTTTGTCACACAGTCATGAGCCTTGGGAGCTCTTGCCCTTCGTAGGTCGCTCGCACTGGTAACACTTCTGTCTCCTTCCCCTTCGTAGGCCGCTCGCACTGGTAACACTTCTGTCTCCTCCTTTCAGCTGCAGAAGCAGAACCACCGAGTATGAGCTGGTTGGAGGCGATCAGCTCACCTGCCACTTTGGCTCCATCCTGCAGACGACAGGGCTGCAGTACCGGGACTTCATCCACATAAGCTTCCACGACCAGGTACCCGCAGGGTGGCCCTCACGTACTTCCCCCGTGGTCCAGGGTCAGCACGGCTCCTCCCGTGACGTCCAGGGTCAGCACGGCTCTTCCCGTGACATTGAGAGTCAGACAGCAGCTCTTCCCGTGACGTTTAGAGTCAGCACAGCTCTTCCCATGACATTGAGAGTCAGACAGCAGATCTTTGCGTGACATTAAGAGTCAGACAGCGCATCTTCTTGTGACGTCCAGAGTCAGCACGGCTCTTCCCGTGACATTGAGAGTCAGACAGCGCATCTTC